CAAGCTTCCGTGACTGGTACACTCGGCTGCAACCCACTGCAAGATATTGGTGTACACTGGATGTACATGCAGAGGACCATGATCTCTTCGGGGCAGCAAGTGTGTGGTCTTACTCAGCACCCTATGAAGACCTGGATCTCCACGCGCTTCTTGGAACTATTTGACCACCGCAGGAATATCCCAGCAGAGTCTAATCATGACGAAGTGTGCCGTTCTGTCAGTCGGTAGCTCAAACAAAGCCAACGCAGTGATCGTGAGGCCAGTTGGTCCCAGCGTGCTTCGGAAATGGAGGTCGCTGGCCTCTCTGGCAATACTCGCAAGCACTTCCAGCTCATTCGATCCACTGGTCCCAAAAAGCCTGGTGTTAGTGAGACTTTATGCGAAGCGGATGATCCACCGATTGCCAACTTAGGGAGACATTTGGACCGATGGGCCGAAATTTTCATTCTCATTTCTACTGGCCCTCACGGTTCACTCATATGCCCTGCGAACCCAGCTGTCCGCCCTGGGTCATCACACTTGACCCACTCAGCAAAGTGGAAGTTTGTCTTGCGATTCGACCCGTAAGACGATTCAAGGCTACCGGCTCAGACGGACTTGCTCCGGAACTGATCAAATATGGAGGCTCAGTTATCATTAGCCAACGTCATCGTTCCCCAAAATCTGGTATGAAGAAAAGGTACCTTCATCCTGGAGCGAGTCAGTTAATATCCCTGTTTGTAAGCAGGGTGCTCTCACTTCATGTACCAATCACCAGGTAATTAGTCTCATTTAGGTTGCCTCCAGGCTATTAGCATCCATTCTACTGCGTAGACCATCTCCCATCCACGGATCGCAGTACCGGGAAGAACAAGCTGGCTTCCGACCTGGCCGCGTGTGTGTGGATCAGATGTTCACACTCCGTCAATTCTAGAAAACCCCACCACCTTTACCAGAGACCTATCACCGTTGCATTTATGAACATCCGTGCCGCATCCGACTCGGTTGATCGACCTGCACTATGGCATTGTTTTCTAGGGAACGGTGTCCCAGGAAAGTACACTGCCATCCTAAGCGCGCTGTATTTTCATAGCCGGCAGAGTGAGGGTGTAGAGCAGGTTTTGGTCGTTCTTCGCTGTCAATAGCGGTGTACGACAAGGCTGCCCTATGTCCCTGTTATACTTTAATTTTGCGGTTGAAGGCGTCCTATCGAAAGCCCTAAACGGCTACCAACATTTTGGTATAGAACCATTGCCGGGTAAGCAAGTAACCGACTTAGATTATGCCGATGATATCGACTTACTTGGTGAGGACTCACATAGCATGCAAATCATTATCGACCGTTTGGCGATTGAGACATCTAGGTACGGAATGAGCTTTGGCCCGTCAAAGTGTAAAATGCCACTTCAGGATTGGCACTCATCCGTTCCTGTGCTCACCATTGAAGGTACACAACTTGAACAAGTGGCTAGCCTTGTCTACTTTGTAAGCTGTGACTGTTGCTGGTACCATTAGAAGGGAAGTTTCTCTTCGCATCGCCGAAGCTCGGTCAGGGTTTGTCAACCTGCAGCAATTGTGGCGTCGCCCGGATATCTTCCACTTGGTAAAGGGCCGTGTTTCCAATGCCACCGTTCGGGCGATGTTGCTATATGGAAGCGAGCCATGAACAGTTCGCGTAGATGACATGCGCCGGCTCTCAGTCTTCGACAACCAGTGCTTGAAGAGGATTGCTCGTGTGTCGTGGCAACAACACATTTGCAACAGTGACGTCAGACGCCGTGTCTAAGGGAATGCAAATATTTCTTTCAGCTAGCTGGTACTGCTGCGCCAGTTAAGATGCCTAATCGACAGTCTAGAACTCCTAGGTGCCATCTTTCATTAATGACAATATGGTTGATATCGGCCCAGGTCATTGTCAAATTCGATGGGCACCAGGCGACACGATGTGAATGATTGTGTCCGGAAGCGGTGTTGATAATATAGAAATCAAAACCAGTAAAGTTACAGAAACCAACTGCCACTGTGTATCGACCCGAAAATAGCCTCTCAGATGAGGCTCGAATTCCGACAGATGATGGACTTGACACCGGTGACAACAGCAAAAATCAGGGTATCAGTATTCTTCGATACATGGAGGAAAGACACGAACCGATGACAGGAACCGCCTGTGGTAATTTCAGAGCTGCAATATATAGAAACATAAACCGAGAAGACGTAAAGACACCTCATCATCAGACGGTATTTAACTCCTTACATTGAGGTCCGACTATGAACCGCACATATGTCGCTGTTCATTGGTATTCGGTCGAGTAGGTTGCCTCCAGAATGTTGGTTGAAGGCAATATTGTCGTACAAATACCTTGAACTAGTGACTCAGTAGCGCCATAGACAAGATGAGTGTAGTCACTGTCTGTAGATTCGGAACCACGGAGTTGAACATTGGTCATGACGCTGTTATCTTGTACACGTGTCTGTTTCGGAGGCTCAATCCAGATCAGTAGCAAGAGGTGGGAGAGAAGTAGTGCTGCTTGAGTTACATGCATCGATATCCCCAACCGTGAATTGAGCGGAAGCCTCGTGTTCAATAGACAAGAAGTAAGGGGGTTCAAAGTGGAGATAAAGGAGACAAGAAGAAACGGTATTGGTAATAAGTCCAGAGGGCTGATGATTCTCTTCAATAAGGACTCCGCGAAGAAGGTTTTGTTCGAGCTGCCTAACCTTTGGGTGGGATGTTTCTCTCTCCCCAGCAAACATGTGGTGTAATGAAGATGGCCTATAGCCCTTGACTAGTTAACGTGACCTAAAAGACAGTGGGGTATATGGAGGTTCGCTTGAAGGACTCCACAAAGCAGTGAGGTGTACGTTCACTTCAGGAGTGAAATTGTGGAGTCCCATGGGAATCTATTTGAGACCGGTCCCATATCGTTATAGAACCTTAAGTCTTTGCATAACTCATATAGTACTCGAGCACATCCTGCCACGGCCAACTTCAGGGTACTGGCCATAGTTCAACCAAAAGGCCTGAGGCAGGATGTGCCCTCTCACCGTCAGAGACAATGCATGACACTCGTGCACCAGGACAATCGAGCTGTGTACTTACAACCCGCAAACCTGTTGCCTGCCATGGGTAAGTTCCAAAGAGATAAGGCTATCAAACTTTTCCCAAACTTCGAGGAAGATGTATAGAGGGAATTTGCCTGACCCCAGAGACCGACCTATTCGGCATGGATGGTCCTTAAGGCAGCTGGAAAGTGCCATCCACCATCACAGAGGAATGAAAACTTGTGCACTACATTAAGATGTACTCTCGCTTTTTGTTTAACTATGAGTCGAATTTCGAAGCGAAGTAGATGCAGATAGCATGACTCGCGCAGAGACGGGAATAACAGTCAACAACGAAAACATAAATGGGGAGAGTAAATGGACAAATAATAAGCCGAGTTAAAAGGAGTCAAAAAAGAGGCAAAACGCATGGGAAACGTTAAACAACTGGTCGCAAAAAATTTGTGTTAAAGATTGTGGTCTATCAGGTAAGTTCTCTGACAATTTAGTAGGACTATACCGAAGTCCGCGTCCAAGAAGATGACATAAGGCAGTCCAATGAAGTTGTTCACTCAATTACTTCATGCTCTTTGCGTACAACTTTTCTAGATGCGCATGTGCTGTACACAAGAAATTGAAGTGCCCGTAAATAAGATAAACCAAGGTAGGCAGTCGGCCAGTTATGAGGCAAGTACAAGCATGGACGGTTCGGTCGATGGCCTATACAACCACACTCGTACCTAGCAATCAGGTTCAAGGGCGCGTAGCTGCGGACAACCTCGCAGGATATAGAGCCCAAGCACGACCTGTGGTGCCAGCGTACTGTCGACGCTAAAGGACGGTTCGATGCTAACAACTACGGCAACCTTATATGGAAGGGTAGTTACAAGCACTGGATAAGCCAACTGAATATAAGCAATAATTCATGAGGTACCAGGGATCAAAAAGTTCAGTTTCCCGAACTCTACAGCACCCAGTGATCATTTCAGTGGCGCATTTAGCAAGGAGGTGCCGTGTACTCCGAGAACCAACTGCTATCCTGTTGCGATACCAAGTGACCGAGCGCTTGCGAAGCCACTTTGAATCTTGCACAGTAGCAGACTAAGTGAAACAAACTAACAGATCGAGTGTGTAATCAGCAAAGCTGCAGTAAAAGTGTTGTGTTGTTGAGCAGTGGAACACACGCCTAAATGTGCAGTGTCAAGCGGTTATTCTTGTGTAAGTATATCAATCTATTCTGTTTCCCATTCCCATAGGCAGCCTACGCTTGGGGAACACACAAATGAATACAGCGACTCACAAGCATAACCTCCGAGGCAGCGGTATACAGAAGCTTACTGAGGGAATTTCGCACAGAATGTCTAACTAGTCTGATCCACGTAGAAGAGACATGTGAGTGCAGTTCAAGAGTATGAAGCCGTCTACAAAACAGTAGAATTAGTCGTAAAAATAACTTAGACATTCCATGGCATGAGAGGAATCCGTGACCACGGTAAGCTCATGTGTGTTTCCATGGGATTTGTATCTGCGTGATCAGAGGGTTCCATGCTTGACGCTAGTTGTGCATCTGCATAATCATAAACAAGTGGAGGACTGTTCTGGGTCTATGCTAATCCAGCTGAGTGCATAAGAGGCTCTAGGTTGCTAGGCTGTGGGAAGAGCGAGTAGTCGACTCCCCTGAATCCGATAGGATAATAAGACGGAACTCTGACTTGTGGATTACCTGTCAACGAGTGCCTCTAAATGTGTCGGGATTTGCTATGTAACGTAGCCCAATAGACTGCGTATTCAAGAAAAGCAGAACTTTAAAGCCAAGTTTTGTAAAAAATAGGATGAAGTGGTGGACGAATAAGAGCGGGAATAAAAACGGTTGTTGGTATAGGTGACAGACGAAACAGAATGAGAAGAGAACGAAAACAAAGCCAATGGGAACAACGGCAACGAAGATCAAAGGTTTGGCAGCGTGAAAGAAAACGTACTTCGCGCTTCTTAGCCTCGTTTCTTCCATATTTGGGAAAACAATAGGCCACTATGTTACCAACGCATGCAGCCATGTGAACCATAGGACCTTCTTTGCCCAAACTAAGTCCAGAGGCCACTCCGAGAACCATGCCAACCGATTTGATAAGCAACGTCCACTTGCCAAGGAAACCTCGGATGACAAAGCCGCCCAAGATAGTTTTGATTTCCGCGATGCCACTTCCTAATGAGGAAGGAGACGATAATTTAGCATGGAATTCATAAATCAATCAGTAAATCGCAAGAATCAAAGGGGGAGATATCACGAGACATATGAGATTAGAACACAAATAAAAAGTGGGGAGTAAACGAAAGTCTAGACAAGCCAATCAGAGGGGGTACTAAAATAATCCGATTTATAATAACAACTAGGATTAAGGCGGAAAAGTATAGGTTGCTAGTGGAAAGAAGGTTACGAAGGAAGTTCGCCACCAATGCACTTTAACACACCCATAAAACAATGGATTATTCTTTCGTCCTCCCGAACACAATCTACTTTGACGTGAATCCAAGCCCTTTTGTACACTACACGTTAAAAATCAGTAGTTGCCCAGATTAGCATATAATGCTCAGTAAGGGAACGTAGGTGAATCGGGTGTTGCCTGCCTGGAAACGATGCACACCACCGATCGCTACGACCGTAGCAGAAGCGGATGGGAAGTGGGCGTTGCCCGCCCGAAAACACTGCACTCCAATACGGATTTCAATCTTGTTCGATCTCATCAGGTAGAGACAGTAGGCATCGAATCTGGGACCATTGGGGTGTAAGTTGGTACCCCCAAGCCTTCAGCCACCAGGTCACGACGGGCAACGCTTGGCGCAACGGTGAAGGATTGATTGGAGGGATATTTTGTGGTAGACGTTGTGTGGTTGGATTTCGACGTGCAATCGCAATATGAACCGTGATTCGCTCTTGGCCAATTCGATCACTAGTGAGAATAACGCTTAAAAATGTTCGAATGACAGCAGTAAAGGACATATAACTGTGATGAGGATAGCTGTGCTTTGTAAGACGGACTGTCCGTTTATGTGGCACTTGTGGGAATATCGCTTTTCCCGTTCAAGTTCATGTACTGGCATTCAAATAGATGAAACGAAATGAACGTTTGGGATGAGTGTGATACTGAGTTAACTCGATGAAACGTGGTGCAGTGGTTTGCGTACCTCACTGACCCATTGACTGGCCATTTTTAAGTGACCAGTCACTCATACCAGACAGGTATAGAGTTAGGGATCAGAACTGCTTAGTTTCACAAACCACTTCGGAGGGCGGGGACAGGTCAATAGTCCCCAGCCTTCAAAACAGTAAAGAGAGACAAGACGTGAAGGGTTATCAGCTCACAGCCCTATTGGTGTGTATCATCAGTGGCACTCATTATCCCTGGCGGTGGGAGAGCACCACCTGGAGTCCAATGGTTTGCTGCCTCTCGCCTCAAGCCGAACAACCCATAGCCAAATGGATGCAAACCCATAACCCCCCAGTTGTGAGTGGCGATGACAGAGGTGGGCAACATATGAGAGTCGAAAAATACATGTGAACCGTACAAAGTTTTCAAAGGTTTCCCAGTGCATAAATGGGATTGATAAGTGAGTCTTTCGAAAACCACATGCAAGCAATCAGGAAAACCCAAAAATCGAATCGTGCTCCTTGTAAACTCCCTGGTTTATCGCTCGGCAAGATTGTAAGCGCAGTGATCGGTAAGATCAAAAGAGTGAGAGTAAAAGCTTCCTTAGCTTGGTTAGCATACGATAAATCTAGTTTTCAATGGCGTGTGCGTTAAGAATCTGGAAGCTGCTCTCAGTTAGTCACCAGTGCGTGGTCTATAGGAATGGCAATTTGAGTCACACTATGATAAAACGCATAAATTGCAAATTGCAAGTAAAGATCAATATGTTGCTCAGCAAAATGGCCTCTCAATGAGCATGGCCTGTGGCATGCCTAAACTCCTTCTCTTCCTTCAGCCTGTTAACTTCAAATTCACGCATCCTAGATAAGCAATCGAGCAGACGCGCGAGTTGCTCCACCCATGGACATTAGAAAGTAACCGACGTGACGCTAAGGAAGCCAAGTTTGATAAATTTTGAGCTCAGCTTTGCTTCATTTGTGGAACCGAAAAATTTCGATAACGTTATGTTCTGTAGACTATGCACTGCTACGCTATCTGCCCATATGGATTAAACAGAGCTGGAAGTCAACTTTCTCAATACATAATAGAAAAGTAGCATTTAATGGCTCATTTCGCACCGGTGAAGATACGTTTGAATATTTGTCAACTCCCATACAGTGAGTGAAGCTAGAACCCGACAGCGACAGTTGAATTAAAAAACCTTTAAATGACAGCAGTAAAGTACACAGAAGTTTGATGATGAAAGCTGTACACTTTAACAACAAACCCAGTTAATCAGGCTGCACAAGATAGCGGTGAAAAGGCAACGTTTGCTGGTGATCTGTAGATTAGAGCCATCTACCTTAGAAAAGCATGCACACGGATTGATTTCCAAGTAAATATGGTTTACAGTGAACAATTTTAGCTGTTGGATTCCGAGGGAGGCCTATGACAGTTTCAGCTGTACAAAGTAATGCAGTGAGGTGAACAGAAAGTGCAAATGGAGACGGTGGTTGGTTTTACGAAAACTATGAGTCAAGGAGTACAGTATCAAAAATATCTGAAATGTCAACTAGCAACTATACTTCCCAAGTTTCAGATTCTTCTCCGACTAATATATCTGAGGTCCAAACAGAAGTGGAGCAAATATGGAGAGGTTACAGCAAGCGACGCCGAAATCTCGCAGCGAGTAAGTATTGCTCCAGCATTCTTCAAGCCAAATGAATTAAGAAATTGGTATAGTGAAATTTCTTTTCTAAACGGGCAGCGAAGGGAAATGTGGGGGTCTGTGGAGAAAGTTTAGAGTCGTGCTATTTAGATAGTTATAGTTCGTGTTGTTTCGGTTTAAACAGTTTCACAACGAAATGGACTTGGTTCGATAACCAATCCAGTGTACTTGAAACGTTGGGATAGCATTCAGTTCCAAAAATCAGAGTGAGTACGGCCATCAATAAGACCTCGTAGCTCAACCAGTGCAGGTGATCGAGCTAGAATCTATTGATAGGACAAAGCTGAGATCTTTTAGGCGATACACTAAGATGGCCTCGAAAAGTTGGGATTATAAAACCGAATTAGCAAGCTCGGTGGGAATACGAACATGTAAATGAAAGGCCGCTTGTTAAAGGCATCAAAATAGTTACGTACATCGTACAATTAGAGAATAGATGAGCGTATACACATCGAATAATTTCGAGGCAAAATAAATGGTAGACTAGCAGACATTCAGAAGCAAATGCAGAACGCCGCATTCAAGGAAACGATCGGAAAATAAGTCCAGACAACTTCAAGAAGGCATTAGCACTAGTGGAAACCCAAAGAATAGTGAGAATCGATTTTACAATATGGTAAACGTATGGTTGCAGTCAAAATGTGTGGGGAAAAAAAACCTTACCGCAAGCGTAGGGAGCGAACACGCGCACTAGAAGGACGCAAACGCCAGCGAATAAGACGGCGAAAAAGATGTACAGTAAGTAACCCACAAAATATGCCTCCGGGAATTGGCTCGACGGATTCTTGCCCATAAACAACCGAGACCACGTGTACCACTAGAATTGAAAAAAATGTGGAATTAAATAGCAATAGACATGTTGCCTGAACGGGAAAAAGCGATATTCTCACGGGTGCCGCATAAAAGGGCAGTCTGTCCGTGAAACGTAAAACGCAAAACGGAATGCGGAACTGCAAGACAGGCAAGCTGGAGAGAAAGTAAAGAAATAGAGAAATACTATAACAAAAAGTTAAGCTTGTGGTTAAAATTCGCTGTTAACGTAAGCAAGGATGCAAATGGATTCAATTCGACTGAAAATCTGGCAAGGAGAACACAGTGACTAAAAGGAATACCAGCCAAGTAAAATTCTCGGGAGATGTGGGCACAGAAGGCTGTCCATGAATGTTCCGCGTATAGAATATGAATGATTAAGCAGATAATTTAGAAAACGCACCGAAACGGAAGATCGGAATAAGAATATGCAAGAGTCCAGGATAAATGGAACAAGAAACTCGCACTAATATATTCCAATTAAAGCGGCTAATAAGCACCAATAAATTAAAAAGCAGGCAAAACCTTGGAGCTCTGACAATTGTGTGTAACAACATTCCTGAGAGAACAAACAATTAGGAGGAGACAAGTGGACGTTTCGAACCAGTTAAACTCACTGGCATAAAGAGTTTTATTATAGGTTTAAACTCGGTTCAATATGATGGGCCCAACAATTTCGGATAACGCGGGGATCCGCTAAGATATTAACGCAGTTACACTGTGTGGCATATTGTCTTCGGAATGGACCCACTGCTGTACGCATGTTCGGAACAGTTCAGTTGAACAATTATGGTCCGAGCATCGAAGCGCGGTGGATCCAGTTGCCGCAAGTTACATTGCAAAAATAACACCAAACAGCAATGGCAAGATAGTGGGGTTGAACGAAAATGGAATGTAAAGAAAATGAAGGCAAAATGGAAAAGCGTTAGACAAAACAGAATCAAACAAAATGAACAACCAGATGCAAGAAACGGAATGAAGGAACCCCACAGATTACGTAACTGCGTTATGTCTGATATGGTCTCCATCCCAAGTCCCCCCCCCCAAGCACGAAGACCGCAGGCACTAGCCTCCCCAAGTCACTCAGATAATTTCTTCATGTCTCTAAACGCCGTCATAAACTGGCTACATCGACGTTTCGCCTAGCTTGGTGAAACCAGGATATAATGTACGCCGAGGAAGCCGGTCAACGGGCATGTGGAGGACATGGCCTAGCCACGGTAAAAGATTAAGATTCAGTAAACACTCGAGAGAAGCACCAGAAGGCTTCTTGCCGAAAACCAACTGGCGGACCTCAGCATGGTTCACTCCGTGTTCCCGCCAGATGTGAGCGATAGTCCGCAAGCACCGGTGATCAGACACGGTCAAGCATTTAATGCCTCCGCCGCAAGTTGGTCAGGTTTCTGATCCAACAGAAACACAAGGCGTAACGTAGCGTAACATACACTACCTTTCCCTGACAGCCTGATATCCCACCTTCTCCAAAGATTGTTGAGTATGGAAAGCCACACGGCCGTGCTGATACGCGATATAATTACCTCAGTGATGTGACCAGCAGAGGTGACACAGTTACCAAGAAAAGTGAAACAATCCATCACTCACAAACTGTTAGGTGATAACTATAAACGGAAGTGTTAGGGGCCAGTTCTGCAAAAATACTTCGCACTTTGAAGGTGCAAAGCATATATGCCGAGGCGTGCAACGCAACGCGTCAAGCTATCCAGCAGTGTTTGCATAGCCATTGTGTCGGACCCTAGAAAAGCTATGTTGGTCGCATACCCCAGGTTTGTCAGTCGGTCAACGGGTAGAACCTCCATTCCTCGTAGAGTCTGAAAGGAGTCACTCATGATCACTTAGAAAACAAAGTTGAAGAGAAAAGAAGCCATAGCACAACTCTGGCGAACTCTGCTTGTCGAGTGGGATCAGAACCCTTACATGGCCTCGAATGTCACGGTAGGAGGACTGGATAATGGAAAAACGTATCTGGCACGCCCTTCAAGGATACGAAGTGACACAAGCTGGTGCGGTCAACAAAGTCGAAGACGGCCTTCAAGTCAAGGAGAACCACCATAGTCGGACCCCTTTACGTGTGTACCTGAGCCAAGCAATGGTGAAGAGTAAATATATTATCATTTCAACCACGACCATGGCAGCACCCAATTTGGATTTTAGTAATTCTGATCTCACAAGGACCAGTAAGTTCTCGGAGAACGATAACCGTGAGACGTTTGGAGGCAATGGATAAAATGCTGATGTCCATATGATTTTCGGAAAACGTACGCTGACCCTCTTTAAAGACTGGCACGACAGTTGACAGTCGCCAGCCTGAATACACCGCTTTAGTGTCCTACATCGCGATAAATAGAGAAGCAACTCCAGTCAACAAAAGGAATCACCTTCATCCTTCACCTCAGATGCAGGAAGATCGTCGGGTTAATGAGCTTTGTTGCATTTCAACAAGGCAAGCCCACGTCGAAAGCATACCAAAGTTGGAGATGTGACATCAAATACCAACGTCGACTCACCTAATTCAGCAAACGGTAATGTCGCATCAGGCCTGCTGAGTTGCTACTCGACGAGGCTGGAAATAGATCAAATGTCATCTTTCTCGACTGTTGTCCCGCCAACTAGTGGCTCTCGCGTACCCGTATTCCGGATGAGCCGAAACAGTACTCGGATGCTCACAATAACACTGCCTCTCTCCATCTCATGGGATCTGGCCACCCGCCAACCCTCCCCGTCCATTCAGAGACTCACTGTCAGTTCCCGTCTTAGGATGTTATGCACACGATGAACTGAGTACACAACGGAAGCAAATTACACACTCCGAGTCACCTGATCGATGCCACAGAAATCCATTCACAATACAGACATCTGAGGTTGTGCACACTGCAAGAGTAATAAGTGTCGTTCATGGCACATATGAGACAACTCGAGTTCGCATTTGGCTCACCAACGGCATTGGTCATTCACAAATGGTAGGCAAGTTCGCTGTGGCACTGCTGAACCGTTCAAGTTGCAAGTGAAAGATTCAGAAGTTAGGCACTTCTTTGATGCGGGAAGAGCAAGGGTCAGTCGTGCGCGCAATACAGCATCGTCGGAATCCAGGAAATGCCCCAAATCGACCGACAATTTGAAATGAGGAGCGATACATGCAGCTGATAGTAAGACGGTCAGTTTAGATACAGGTCATCGATGAATTCAGTGAACGACAAGTGATGTAATGTGCACATTTGTGCAGCTAATATAAAGGTTGCGGTCATCACACAGTTGCATGAAACGGTTGACATTTGCTTCTAAATGTCCATCGATTTCTAGTTTAAAAACTATAGTTGAAACCATGAAGACGACCCGCTTAGGCACTAAGTGGCCCACAGAAATTATATCAGTATATTACACAAAACAGAGAACAGATGAAAGATGGCTTTAGAAATCGTCTTTGATACTCTCCGAAACGCAGTCAGTAGGAAGGGATGAAAAGGGACTTGGTCGTGAAACGGGGCCTAGTAACCACAATAAATATCCGAAGTTTCATCGTACATATGCGACCCTTCAGCGGCATCCAGTCAGGCAGATTGCATTCTACATGTGTGCCGAGGGCGATACTAGCACGGTAAATAGATTGAACCATTGACTCAGTATCGCCAGAGATGCGAAGAGTGTAGCCATCAGCGTCACGTCATCTATGTGTGTTTCGGAGACACAGAACACATTAACACCAAGAAAGTGATATGAGAGTCAGTGCTACTAGCCGATCTGAGATAGATTGCGTAAGTTAAAAGGACCAATGTGAAATGAGACTCTTAGTTTGATGGACGAGTTACGAGTATCGATGGTAGCAGCTGCGAAGTCAACAGCAGTCAATGGCTCCATAGATGGGAAAAGGAGGGAAGACAAAAACAAGGAAAGTAGTGTCGATTGGTCGACAGGGCCCATAATAATTGCCGACTGCCCGCTCCGAGACAGGGGTTTTATTCGACGTGCACTGCCACTTTGACTCAAGGATCTCCCCCCCCCCCATGCAGTGGGGTAAAAGTAGGTTCGCTTGAAGGACTCCACGCGAAGCATTTGGCTCAAAAGCCTGGCTCAAAAGGCAGTGGGGAACAAGTCCATCTCGGGAGTGTGATTGCAAAGACCCATTGGGATCTGCTTAATGTCCGTCACATACGGTCTTTGAAGATCTGGAACAATTCATGTATTTGCGACCGTAGTAAGATATGCACCTGTGACCATGACCAGCCGCAGGTGGAAGTTGGCGGGTTTCCATCAATTTGACCACAGGCTGCCTGGCTTGGGGTGAGCGGTAGCAAACCACTGGGTACCGGAAGGTGCCTTTCTACCATCAGACAATGAGTAGTGCTCGTGCTCCACGCCAATCGAGCTGGGAGCATATAACTCGTAGACCTATTTTTTTAATGGTTATGTTTTAAAGGAAGAGGACCATCGACTTGCCCCTAACCTCGGAAGAGAATTGGACTGTAAGATTGAGTTAGCCTGCCCTCTAGGCATTGAGCAGCTTGGTACTAGTGACTCTGAAGGCACTTGGAAAGTGCCACCCAACGTGGCTTAATTGGTCACGCAGGTACGCAAAACATTGCACCACGTTTAGGTCCAGTCTCGTTGCGATAGCATGATGAGATTGACAGATGAGACGTTGCTGGTGACGACAGAAGTAAATTTCTGCATTCCAACTGAAGCAGCACATCGATGTTCTCCAGATTGCCTGGATTAAGATCGTTCCGCCGCAGTTGAGGGCCCCAAACCCTCATGTAGCTTGTTAAATAATGAATCTAACATATTTTCGTATGCGGCCACTTTATTGACAAAGTAAGTCTTCCAATAACCCAGGCTGAAATCGTTTCACATGGCAAGCTGACTGAATGAGACGTATGAATTCAGTTTGCACACAACGAGGAGTTATCGACGTCAAGAAGAGGGGATTTAGAATACATACACAATTTAGTGAGGAATCCTACAACAGGAAAATAAATAAATTTATTCTCGGTGTTGCACAAGGCACGCCAATAAGGCATGATCAGAATGGTTGAACAGGAACAATAAGTAGTGGAGTCTCTCACGATCGCATGATGAGTCGCTGAAAGAGAAAAAGTGGCTGAGATGGACTGTGTTGTCATCCTACTTGACAACTGCGAGGTGGTACACTCTGCTTAGTTTGCTGCACCGTATAAACACTTATCTTGAAGTTGCATAACTGACAACAGCACAGTCAGAATCGTGATTGCCAAGGGAAATTGTAGCTACGGTGACCAATTCTGTCCTCTTGACATTCATAGCATACAAGACAGTGATAGACAGGGCACCCTATTGCGCATTCAGAAATAAGACACGATGCGCCGTCGCCGTCACATATGGATCAGTGGTGTAAGTCGCTAACTCAAGTGAAGAATGTGCTTTATGCGCGCATGCAAGGGCGCATTGCATTTGGTTCCCTAAGGATAAGATAGTGATTACTCAAGAAAACCAGTTGTTGGTACAGGTATAGGTGGCTTGACTGTGTCCACACTATATACACAGAAAAATAGCCCCAAACATGAGTTACACAACTGGCCGCTTAACTGCTTTAAAAGCCACACCGACACACACGGCCAGATGGGGCATGGAAGTGCGAGTGAAATTCATCGAGAGAATAACCCGCAAGGAAGCAGGTCCACAGGAGGCGGTCCCAATAATTTATCTATACTTTGTATCTTTTAAAATTTCACAATCCTTCCGAAAGATTTAACCGACCAATTAGCCACGTCCGCCAAAAAGCTTGCGAATTGCTTTGGAAAATTCGAAAAATATAACATCTGCTCCTTGCGATTCTGCCGTACATCAACCATCCTAATATCTAGTTGAACTGTTCCTCGTGCACCGACAAAAGATATACCTACGTTTTTTATTCTCCACAACTTCATATTGCCCATGATACTGCGAGTACATATTTGATCTGATGCAAATATGGATGCAGCCTCTCACCTAAAGCGAAATATACCCACTATTATTATTATTAATATTATTATTCAACTCTAATAAACACGCCACGCACAGCGATAAATAAGGAAAGCGATGGTAAATATAAAGCCATAATCGTTGAAAAAAATGTTGACAGAAACAAATTCAACCAATTTACTAACTTGTTCTTGAGTGACTGATTGTCTATCTGTCAAAAAATGTGGTAAGCAAGGAACTACTGATGTGCCATAGGCTCTTGTGCGGGAGTATGTAGTTTCTATCTCTGCCTGCTCCTTCCAACTCCAACTCCAGCTCATTGAATAATATCGAACTGGCTAGCGTTGCACTCAAAACCCACCAGATGAGCGGAGGGAATCGCTGGTGCTATTAAAAGATGATAAGAGGTGAAGGGGACTACGCAATAGATTATCTGGGTGCCCCACCTCAATTGCATGCAGGACAAACCCGTAGTCACCGAAAGACGGAAGTACGAAGCAAGAGGACTGTTGGACCATGGACGAATCATGACGGCGAAATTGTTAAATGCCTTAAGAAAGAAAAAAAAAGAAGAAACGCACTAGCAGCATGTCAGCGCGCCGCATCGGCACTTCGCTGCCAAACGACAACCACCAGTCGCGTGAGGGCTGGGTGTATCGCGAGGAGGCTAGTAACTACGCGGATTGGAACTAGTGGCTTCAAGAGTACAACGCAGGCATACAATGCTCACCGTCTACACACGATGTAAATCATCCAAAACACATTAATAGTACCTCAGTGAGAGGTCATGATCAAGGGTATTTTACTCATTTATGTATCTCTGAACATATGCTCAGGCTGCAAACGCCTGAAGTAAACAACCCTGGTTTCAGCCGGAAGCAGCTGTGATGTAGTGTGCTATAAAGATACTGTAAGTGATGCGATCAGAACCATACCCATTAGCTCCTGCCAGCTGACAACCGAATGACTAACCACTAATTCTGTCGCCATGGCAGTGGACTGAGAGGAATTGGAAATAGGTACTCATGATGTGACCATACTCCCGAGGAAAATTATTGCTTGAGCCTCACGTGAAAGATGACGAGGGATCTCGGTTCAGCAAATTAATTCGTCTTTGTAATTTCATACCTCAGGAACAAAATCGGGGCCGGTTAACTGGCATAAACCGTGTACGTTGTAATCCAAAGGTCACCAGTTCGAACCGGCGTAGGTGCACGCAACCTTGCAGTACTCCTTAAACGCTCGTGGCTATTGGTGGCCGGTACAGGAGGTCGGTCCAGCATACCGACGTAATGCCTAGAAATCTAATGTAGTCCAGAAATGAGCGCAATGATCAAGACGTAACCAAGGTCAATCAGCGATAATGGAGATTGCCTCCAAAATATCAACATGTTGAGAACATTCGCTCAGGCCATTCATTCGGTTAATAATCAAAGTAGTTTCAAATATCTTCGCCTTAACACATGTTGGCACCGTACTTTGAGTCATATTTACGGTGACGGGGATTTATTTTTGACAGCCAGACGGGCAGTACCAATTGATAGGTTAAGATCGATTGTGGAAAGTAAGGGATATGCAACAAGTGCAAGCGGCTGAAAAATTTGCAAGCGAATAGCAAGCAAAAGTCATGGAAACCCCTGAGGAGGTTGAAGGCATGTGAGGTCAGAAGTAAACAGTAAAAGAAGAAGGTTTGACGGATCACATGCTAATGATATCATAATCATATCGCAACGTAGTTTGGGCATGTGGGAGTGCGACGGTTGGAAAAGGGAAGGAAACAATAGAGCGTATAGAAAGGAACCGAAAACTCGTACCTGGTTGCACACTCCATCCGTTTGATTAGACGACCAGCAACATTGATCGCGGTTGAACCAAAAAGCATCCACGCAAACGCCTTCCTTTAAGTCGGACATCCAAGTAGTTCCTATGTCGATCACACAAGCAATGATACCAGTGATGAGGCCAACAGATAGTACACAGAACCATCCTGATCCGGAATCCCAGTAGTATAGCAGACAACCCAAGAATGAATTCTGCTGAGGCCAAGACGAATAACGGAAGCATTTGGAACACAGACTGCAGATTGATGCACATACATTTGCACAAGAATTACAGGTGAGCAAGTGACATAGACACTGTAGGTTTGGAAATCGGTATCGGCAAGCAAAATGTGCGGGGGCTTAAAACGAGGTAGCGCACAGCTGATTCTACGGTGTGTAACAAAAAGAAATACGGTGGTTTGTAAAAGGCTGCATAGGATATAAAGTGCAATGTGTTAGATTTCACCCTCACTAAGTGATTTTGATCGGGTTGATGTCGTTCTGCGACCAAATGCACGCTGAAGACCAGCTACCGAAAAATAACAAGTAGTGTGAAAACTAAGGAACCAATAGGCAACCAATAAGATAGGTAAATACGTCTTACGTCAGAATTAAATCTGCTGAGGAGTCTTGATGTCTCTGTTGAACATTACTTTTGCAAATCATATCTTAATAAAAATAATGGTTTTTCTTGGGAGCAATAACTTCATCTCGGATAGAGCTGATAAAGCAAGAAGTACTCATGGGATAGATGAAGCGAGTATATCATGGCAAGATAAAGGGCAATGTATTGGGTGAACAAAGAAAACACCTCATTCATCCCACCAACATGACCTCAAGTGCAGGAGAGTCGAAAAGAGCTTTCCCAAGGATACTATAACTAACATCGAGAAGATACAACTGTGTGTTGGCAGCCGAAGCAATAATGTACGAGCAGTCAAAGTTGATCGGTGGAAAAAGAAAAAAGAGGGGATTAAAGGGAAACAGAAAGAGACGGTGTAGCACATGAGATGATTCAATAGAAAGCACCTAGAGCCGAGAGGACAAATCGCACAGATTATGACGGGACCGGCAGCCACCACAAACCATACAAATACAAATAGTGGTACAATGAAAAATAGTTAAGAGAGATTTGGAAACAATCGATTGGTGTTTTTGCTAGGCAACATTACCCTTTTGACAACGAAGCTTTGTCAGGTCATGTGAATCAGTAAACAATTGGGCCATGTTTTACCACGATACAAGACGATAATCGCGGTAGCAGGACCATCTGTCAAGGTGTCATGACAGTCAGGGCGTTACCTTGATTGTTTGCAGTCACAGTGGGAACAGCCGTGTTCTCTCGTACAGAATCGCACTGATACATAAGCTTTGATGAGGAGCCAGTTTTCGCTCTTCAACCTGATCCGCGCATTGAAGCTCGTCAGAAGGAATACTGAATAGTGAGAATAGAGAGCGAGAAAATAAAAATCTATGTTGCTTCATGGTAGGTGGATCGGGCACATGCGCGGAATCACGTCGCCCATTTTTGCGCGGTGGCAGCATGTTGCCGCTACAATACATCCTATCCGGGTCCGATACGCTCCTTACACCTGTAGTCTGCAAAATGGGTGAAGGAATCACTTGAATTCCGACACCGGTTTCGCCTCGACTAGTGTCTCCGGCAATTTGTTCCAAAATTTCACCACTCGACGCCCGAAGCATAGAGGGTGAGCGATGTGCTTTAAATCCGGTACCACTAGTTTGTACCCATGTCCGCGTGTGCTGCTTGGTGCGCGAACGTGCAGCTGCGGCTTCAACATAGGGAAGTGGTCCAGGTGCAGTATCCGTGGTTGTGTCGTAATGAGATCAACACGAAGCCGACGATATGAGAGGGTATACAGCCCTGGTCTCCTACATTGGTCCTCGTACGACATACACCGTAAACTGGGAATGAGCCGGGTAGACTACATGTTGGACCCGTTACAGTCTCTGCACCTCAACGATTGTGATCGGACAATAGGCGAGTGAGCCGTACTCAAGCACCAGCCTTATCCTGGAAGAGAAAAGACGAATGGCAATATCTTCAGATCAAATGCGTCTAAGCACCCAAAACAGGTGTAGTCCGTTTGCGTAGTCTGTTCGTGTTGTGGACAGACTTCAGACCACAGGGTGAGAGTGCGCCTACATCCTTTAGGGAACTGGTGGGATGTAGCAATTGGCCGGCCAGGGTGTACGCACACCCATTAACACCCCTCTTCAGGCTCATAAACGACGACTTGGCCGAGTTGACCGGTAGGTCAATGTTACGTGTTCAACCAATGATCGCTCACTATGACTGTGAACCTGATTGGTCCTACACACACACGTAGATAAGCACGCACACACGCACTCAAGGACACACCCTAACGTTCCGTGTTCACATGTAAACCGTTAAGTGTTCAGTACACTGTGCGCCAGACTGACGTGTCTTCTTGCTTATTCGCTACCAGCTGAAATACGTACTTGCGGTTAGAGTCCAGCTGTGATATCTGGCGACGAGGTCAACATGTCCATGACAAATACTCCACCGGTCTTCTGGTCGTGCTCTACCGACAAACCTTCCCTGGACTCGTGGCATAGATGGCGGAAAACCTTTACGGATTACTTGGAATTGCTTCCAATCTTGAATCCAGCAGTATCTCTTACTGAGAAAAACAAAGTGAAGCTCTTGAGACAGTTTCTTGGAGATGAGGGTCAAAGGTATTTCGATGCACTTCGTATTGATCAAATCACTTCTACGATAACCGGCGCTTTGGAAACCTTCAGTGCTCTTTGGGGTGCTCGTCAGAATGTTTTTACGGCTAGATACTACTTCTCGAAACTCTGCCAGAAACCAGATAAGAGTGTGAACGAGTTCATCGCTCGTGTACTACAAGCAGCACCTGATTGTAAATACAATGAAGCCGATCCAACGAGATTTGAAGAGACCATGTTACTCCAATGTTTGATAGCCGGAATCTCAGACCAGAGCACGCGGGAGAAGCTCCTTTCACAAGATGATTGTTCACTGACCTGGGAGACGGCCTGCTCGATTGCCCGACAGAGGGAACACCTTACACAACAACTCGCAACATTTACGCTGAAGGACTTGTCAGATGAGCTGCGATTGATTAACACTACACCAAAACCAAAGCCACCCACTGGCGTCAATTTGTTTGTGTGCTATCGTTGTGGTGAGCAGCACAGTTGTCCATCCGACTGCAGGCATCAGAAGACAGTATGTCGAAGCTGCGGGAAGGTGGGCCACCTGGCGCGAGTGTGTAGATCGGTCAAGCGACGTTCAGGTGGGGCTTATCGAGGAGCAAACCCCATCAAAACTGTGGACGAGTCTGATGGTAGCGACCCTGAATTACATTCCATTTGGCTTAATTCCGTTTCTAGCATGCAGCCGGCGCCGTACACTCTAGAGCTTTACATTGAAGGACAAAAGGTACAGATGGAAATAGATACAGGAGCATCCGTGACGATAATCCGGGAAAACGCTGTAAAAACGCTCCCGAACTTATCCGCTTGCAATTCTGTTCTTCGTACATACACCGGTGAACCTATAAGTGTACTTGGTAAATGCTTCGTGAAGGCACAGTATGGCGACAAAATACGCACACTTCCTGTATATGTGATCCCCGGGGATCGTCCAAATCTGCTTGGAAGAGACTGGATACGTGCTTTCCCGGATACAATGAATGTGGTAAAATTAGTCACCGAGATCTCCGGACTTGAAACATTACTTAAACAACATTCAGCTGTTTTTTTCCGAGGAGCTTGGGAAGTTGAAAGAATTTCAGGCTGCGATAAAACTAAAGGAAGACGCTCGACCAAAATTCATTAAGGCGCGCACACTACCATACGCTATGAGGCCTAAAGTTGAAGAGGAACTAAACCGCCTACAGACTCAAGGTATTATTACTCCTGTACACTTTTCTGACTGGGGAACTCCAATTGTGCCAGTAATCAAACCGGACGGCTCCGTACGGATTTGTGGTGACTACAAGATAACCATAAATCAAGCATCCATGCTGGTCAGGTACCCCTTGCCACGTACTGATGACTTGTATGCAACACTAGCTGGTGGTGAAAAGTTTACCAAACTCGATCTGAGTCATGCATACTCGCAGATAGAGCTCGATGAACCTTCGAGGAAACTTACTACCATCACCACGCACATGGGACTATTTCAATATACTCGTTTACCTTTTGGCATTAATTCCGCCCCCGGAATATTTTAGAGAATTATTGACGACCTAGTGAAGGACATTCCTTTTGCTTGTGCTTATCTGGATGATATTCTTACCTCTGGACGCTCGGATACAGAGCATCTTCGAACACTCGCGGTCGTGCTCGAGCGTTTGAAGGGAAGTGGATTCAGATTGAAAAGGTCTAAATGTGAGTTCCTTTCACCTTCCGTTTGTTACCTTGGATACCGGCTTGATAAACACGGTTTACATGTTTTAAATGACAAGGTTAAATCTATTTTAGAAAGCCCAGAGGCAAAGAGTTGTGATGAACTCCGTTCGTTCTTAGGAATGCTATCTCACTATCGCCGTTTCCTGCCTAACGCATCGACGGTTCTATCGCCATTAAATGAGCTGTTACACAAAAATGCATCGTGGTGTTGGGGTTCCCGTCAAAAAATGCCTTCAATAAAGCAAAACAAGCTCTTGCTTCGCCACCAACGTTAGTCCATTATGACTCTAACAAGCCACTCATACTTCAGTGCGAGGCGTCCCCTTGGGGGTCGGGGCTGTCCTGTGCCACCGCATGGACGATGGTTCTTTACGTCCTATAGCATATGCATCGCGCACCTTACAGACGGCGGAGAAGAACTACTCACAACTGGACAGAGAAGCGCTAGCCGTTATCTTCGGAGTTAAGAGGTTTCACCAGTATTTATGGGGAAACGTTTTCGAGCTTCATACAGACCACAAACCATTGATATCCTTGTTTGGGGAAACCAAAGGTATACAACAAATGGCATCACCGAGGATGCAAAGATGGGCTATAACCTTGAGTGCTTACAGTTACAAGATTGTTTATATTACCGGCATCAGCAACTGCACAGCTGATGCACTCAGCCGTCTGCCGATCACGGAAACTGCACATGAACACGACCCTCCGTTTGAACTGGTTAATCTAATGCAACATCTAGACACAACACCGATACGGAGTTCAACAATCCGTCAATGGACGGATCGAGACCCCGTGCTATCAATGGTGAAACGCTTTTTGAACATGGGTTGGCCTCCTGAAGGGACAGTTGAATTACAACCGTTTATGATTCGGAAGAACGAACTGAGTCTATTCGACGGCTGTATTTTTTGGGGCTCTCGTCTAGTCCCTCCCACCAAGGCGCGTTCACAGATACTTAAAGAGCTCCATGATGCTCATCCAGGTGTGGCGAGGATGAAGGCACTAGCGAGAGGGTACTGCTGGTGGCCCAACATCGACTCAGACATAGAGAACTTACTGAAGAATTGCGATATTTGTCAGGCGTATCAGCGGAGCAAGGCGCCAGGCCCAACACACCCTTGGCGTTGGCCCGACAAGCCCTGGCAGCGTATCCACGCCGACTACTTCGGACCGATCGACGGGACCATGTTTCTTCTACTTATTGATGCACATTCTAAGTGGATTGACGTACATCCGGTTACTCAGGCGACAGCCGAATCCACCATCACTAAAATGCGCTCGTCCTTCGCTACGTTTGGCATTCCGGAAACCATTTGTACAGACAATGGTTCGCCTTTTACCAGTGCCGAATTTGGTAAATTTGTCGCCAACAACGGAATCCAACACGTTAAATCAGCCCCGTATCACCCAGCATCAAATGGATTAGCGGAGCGTGCAGTACAAACTGTGAAACATGGCTTACTAAAGCAGCGAACGGGAACATTGCGAACAAAACTGGATCGGTTCCTATTCTCCTACCGTTCTACACCCACTGAGGCTACCGAGAAATCCCCGGCGGAATTGATGTTCGGCAGAAATCTGAGTACGAGGCTTCATTTGTTGTTTCCGAACCCGCGTGTTGAAGTACAGGAGCGTCAGAAAAAGTTTGTGTCTTCAGAGGAATCAAAGCCGGAAGTTACATTTCAGGACCATCAACCTGTTTACATCAGGTTACCGCATGAACAATGTTGGCAGCCGGCGACTGTGCTCGATTCTTCAGGAAGTCAAAACGATTTGCAGCTTCCGGACGGCCGGGTTGTTCGCCGGCACTCAGATCATGTACGCCCCAGGAGCACTGACATACCTGCCGTGAGTCAGTCACACTCGGAGATCGCAGAGCAAGCTGCAGAGCACGACGAACACAGAACAACAGGAGAAACTCAATTACGCCGATCGACCCGGATTCGCAAACCGATCGAACGTTTTCAGCCATGACTGTAACATCGGCCAAAACAGGGAGGACTGTTACGTGTTCAACCAATGATCCCTCACTATGACTGTGAACCTGATTGGCCCTACACACACACACGTAGATAAGCACGCACACACGCACTCAAGGACACACCCTAACGTTCCGTGTTCACATGTAAACCGTTAAGTGTTCAGTACACTGTGCGCCAGACTGACGCGCCTTCTTGCTTATTCGCTACTGGCTGAAATACGTACTTGCGGTTAGAGTCCAGCTGTGATAGTCAACCTCTGCAGACCACCGGGATATGCGGTCGAGGTGCTGCTGAAGGACGTCAGAGACGTCGAGAGAAGCAATAACACTGTAAATCTTCAAGTCGTCTGAAAACAGTGCACAAGGCGACTGAAGAAGCTAAGGCACTTCGTTTATGTGGATCAGGAATAAAATGGGCCCCATCACTGTGCATTGGGGTACACTGCTAGTGGTGGGGTACCAGTCCGTTAGGTGGTCATTCACCAGCTTCCCCCAATAAGGAAGTCGCCAATCAACTGGTGCGGTGCGCCATCAACACCACACATCCTTAGCTTGTCGGATTAAGATTGCTCGACGTGCGCTTGAGGGTAACACCTACGCATCTGTCGACTTTGGTGAGTTGTAATAGCTCGGCAATCAACGGCCGGCGCATTGCTCGTACCTCTACCTTAATGATCTGGTGGCTTCTGTCAAGGGCATTGATAGACAAAACCGAGTTCCTTAGCATTGCCAGGCATTCCAAATCATTCGTCAGTGGTCGTGAAGTGCGCAATATATGCTAGGAAACTCGCATGCGTGGCTCTCCTGGGGGTTGGCCAGTGCATACATGTTCACAGTTTTCCCATATAATTATATATATATAAGGGTGTAATTATGTTTAAAAGCCAGTTTTGTGTAGGAGTTTCGGGAGAAAACACACTACAGTTTTAATAGAATGCCGAATGAGAGTCAGAATCGTCTGTTAAACGATGTGGTGACGAGTGACAAGAGTGAAAGACCCGACTTCGAATACGACAAAATGTACATACGGCTAGCACAGATTGGGAAGTCGGGGGCGAGCTCATCATAGTAAATATATAGAAAAATAGAGACAGAAGCTAAAAGAAGGAAAATAACGGAACTTTAAGGACAGATGGCAATATACAGCTGACTGTCATGAGGGTTTCGACCGAGGTTTAACGTATTATAACGTTAGTCCCACAAGCTGATCTACCAAAGGGCAAGAAATGGAGGTGAAATGAAATGAAAAAAATGAAATGTGTCAGCTTATACGCCGTAACGACGCTTCGCTGCCGCGCGACCACCACTAGTCGCGCGCGGGCTAAGTATACCGCGAGGACGCCCACCCCTACGCGGATTACGAACCGGCGACCTTATGGTTGGAAAGCAAACGTGCCGACCACTCGGCCACCGGCCGACAAGGTACGCTTTGCGAACTCCATCCTAAGAGCTTGTCCTAACATTAAATGAAAACAAGTTAGTTAGGAGTGTCAAGTCCGTCAATGTGATCACAGAGCACCATGAAGGTACTATGGAAACAAGTCACACACAGATTTTGTAGATTCGGAACCGTTCGTGTTTCTGATCATGCTAAATGACAGATGGGCAACCGATATTAATCATAGGCGAATTTTCGTAGGTTGGCACTATGTTGGCCGGAATCCCTATGTGTGTGATAGATGGGAACGAATAAGCGGACAACAGGCAAGCGCTGTCACGGTCAGAAACAATCAGTGGCAGTCGTAGTTTATGCCAATGAAGCTGAGCTAACAACTACCCTACTGTTATCTTCCATGGCTGAGTTGCGGCAGGAAATGTATAGACCTAACAACGTACTCCAAATAGGACAAGGTTGATAGTGAGTTTGTCAGCTATAATCATTGACCTGTTTCACAAACATGACAGAAGGAAAATGTTAACCACTGCAACGCAATGACGTATACTGCTGAACCTCGTGAACTTCCAGCAGGGCAACAACATCCAATCGGAGCAATCTGAAGGATAGGTAGCACGATCAGGGGGGATCAGCCCGCCCAGCAGCACGAAATATGGCATGGGCACTACATTGTGGTGCATGAAGCATCAGGAAACTCATGTAAAAGACCAGAGATAACCCGATTCTCCTAACGGACACAAATGTGTGGCCAAGCAGCCGAGTTTCAGTACTGAACAAACGAAAATACAAAAAGTAGTAAAACTCAAAGTGACTCTCCGATATGTTTCAATCATCATAAAGCAGAGACAAAAGTGCCGAAAAGATCATACCCGATTGATGTGGAGTTCTCTATGCCGACATCTATCCCGGATTACGTCCTTCACCCAATCAATTGTTTCGAAATCATCGTAGTAGCCCCGATCCAAAGCGGATCGGCGATTCAGCTGCGATTTACTCACGTAACTTGATTGAAAAGGTAAATCTGATAGGCGGATGGAAACGCGTTGAGGAACGAGATATTAACGCAAGAAGAGAATCAGAGCAGAATTCGGGTTAATATTAAAAAAACGCCAAGATGTCATAGCAGTGCATAAAAATTATGCATTAAAACTATGCAGATATTGAGTCATTCAGATGATTGTAAGTGGCTTGCACGCATTCGAAAATAAACATCAAGAAGCGATCCATATATTGACTGCAGATGTAAATCAAGCAACAGAAGAGGTCAGTTAAAATCGTTTCAACATCACTGTCAGCGAGATCAAAAAAACAACATTGGGTTAACACTTAGTACCAATGCGTCGCAACCAGACTGGTAACAAGGCAGGGCATTAACGTGGCGTGACTGCAAGTGAAGCTCTCCTATGCTGCGCGCTATATTTGAAAGTGCCTCTGAACACCAGAAAGCCGCGCCAAGCTGATTGATACAAATTATATCCGAGGTTGATGGGGTCATAAGACGCTAAAACAAAGACATCACTGTGTCGGGCAGAGTACTGACAAAGCACCAGGTCACAGGACACAAGCAAGACAGCCTGTAAGGCAGCGTGTCAGACAGGTGTCTTCACATGGTCTGCCAAAGTAGGCTTAAACTTTGCTAGTGAGAAATGTGATGTTGTTAGCACCAGAATGAAACTTCTGGTTTCGCAGAACATGTGTGCATCAGAACGATGAGCAAATGTTGCACAACAGTGAAAATTCACCATCTTAGAATTGAAGAATTAGGATACATCCAGATACTGTAATGTGGTTATCTGCGGGGCATTGTTGATGTCGGATGGCACCAGAGTGTCTGTAACAGTGATGCCAGTAAACCATATAAATAAAGGCCGTGTAAATTGCACTGGTCTTGCCATGTGCTACGTATGCCCCCGTCCGGGTAGGAACAAGCGATCACTCAGTAGCCATAGCCTGAACGCGACTGCTGTTAGCAGCGTAGTAGCAAAGCATCGGTGAAGCAGATTGGCGTAATTACGATGATCTCTGCTTTATGTACGTACGTTCACTGACCAAACAGGGCACCGCTTTGTTTCCCGGACACAGGATGGCATTGGGCCAATCAGCGGAAATGAGGCCAACGGCAGCTAAACGGAGCACCGTTAGTTGATCTGGCTCTAAAGTTACTGGTAGAAACGACCTATACAGAACTTATCACTAGATCGTACAGAGCATGGTTCGTAAATGAAACAAGCGCCGAGATTGAAGTTTGCTCAAGCCAGTGCTGTCTTTTACATGATCCAACGTGGTTTATGTCTGCAGGATGCGCAAAGAACCGCCGCGACGATGGTACTAAATATTCACTCCATCATCAGTTGTCTGGACGCAAGATCGTCGTCTAAGTTAGGCAGCTTGGCACTGAATGTGCACTCGGGGCATTACGAGGTTCGTACCTAGTGGGCCATCCCTAGAACCCAACGTACTAGCTTCACGAAATTTCCCGGTCAATTTCTTTATACGCTTGTGCCATCTATTAGCCACCTCGCTGTTTCACCTAAATTGTTAGATGGCGGCGGTAGAAAACGCACATCGATGAAAGTGGTCAAGAGATACATGGGGAGTGGGAACAGGCAAACACAAGCAACGCATTCCAAGTGCGATTATCTCAGGGCTTCGTGCAAAACATCAACTGGTGGGTTCAAATAGTACTCACCCGGTGCTTTCGACAGATATAGACAAGAGTTGTGAGGAGCCAATGAGCAAAGACCATCAATCTCTTCATTGCGTGGTGGCCACGTCTCCTATAGGTACCGCATGACCGACCATAATGGAGTGTAATATGAGGCATGCTTGGTTGTTATCTTGATATCCAAGCATCTGCAAAGATGATTGAGCACCCGAAAAGCTACACACACTTTCCTAATACGAGAAGTAAACACCCTGGTGACGTAGCTACCGGAGGTTACGGAATTCATACGGTAGGTAAACAAGCCCACCGGCTCCACTGTTCTACTGGTGATAGAATAAATGGAAGGCGAGTCGGCCCGACACTACAAAAGTAACCAGCAATTTGAAGGCTAGAAATCCATACCCAAGAATAAAACGATCCGCATCGATCTGTTTAGTAGAACATTCACAGCAGCTGGGTCACACCCATGGTAATATATATCGTCCGTCTACTTAAGGTCTGTGAGATGCTCACTCTTTAAAAGCTTCATTGCATACGGAGCTAAGAGGACAGAATTGTTTATGATCAGTTCCAGAAAAGCGTTGAACAGGGAATATATGGTGATGTCGGCGAACGCCAGCTGTCCAAGCGTGTTGGGAGGGCTTCCTCTAATTGATTTCTTTCCCTTTGTTGAACGTGTTTATTAACTGAACAATATTTTCCTACGTTTCAATTCCTCACTGATCCTATACTGGACTGTGACGCTATTTCCTTTCCACTGTACTACGCCCAATCTTTACGGACCTTCCCGCCCAGAGATATATCTTCAACCAGTGTTTGTTATCTTCTCACTTTTCGTGCGTTGACATTTTGTTTGATACACGAATACAAAGAACATAACAAAACCAAGTTAGGGGGCAGCTTCCGGTAGACACAACCGGCATCAGGAGCCGGGATAGAAAAGACCGCAAAATACAAAAGGGCTTGTATGCAATATCACAAGCTGGCGTGGCCGACCAACCGCAAAGTAAATATCAGGTCAAGGAAACCCACCATAGTCTGTCTACTCTAACCGTGCCTCTGCTCCGGAACCCGATCAACACCAAATATATCATCAATACAAGTCATATCAAAGCAAGAACGTGCTTTATGTACCTAAAAAGGGGGAATATTCCGCTCCAAAACACACCACGGACAGGGATCAATAATGAAAAGAAATAGTACAAGAGGATAGACACAAAACCATAATCGTTGAAAAAATGCTGACAGAGATACTAGCACTGGAAAAAGTTACCAAAAGTTCTTGAGTGACTGAATTTTGATCCGTCAAAAAACATGACAAACAAGGAACTACTGATGCAACATAAACACTTGTGCAGGCGTACATAGTTTTTTTCAGCTGTGTCTAGTCCAGGAGACTGATGCATAATCGGATAACGCTTTGTGGGTGGGACTGGTTAACATCAGTATTTTACATGCAAGCTTATTACAGAAGTTGACATGGCAGGACACAATAATGTTAACCAGTTCCGGCCTTAAAATACCAATACACCGGAAGAGATATTCCAATGATCTGACAATTACTTTGAGATCCATACCCAGAAGCCTAGGGAAGAACACGAGAGAGCAATACGTCCAGTAGGGCAGCACACATGCAGTGATAAAAAGCTGAATCAAAAAAAGTTCGGAACAAGACCTGAGGCGCGCAACATAGAATGAAAGTCTCCTAACATTAGTGAATGTTTCGTTCACGCGAAGGGACCCCGTAAAAACACCGAGCAGTGTCACTCACAGGTATTTGACTGAGGTGGGGGAGATAAAATATACAACATCAGTGAGAAAAATGAGGGCATTGCGTTGGTGTTTGTCTGAATCAATTTCCATTAAACAGTGAAAAACGGACATCTTTGCAATGTGCAGTGTTCAACGGAAAGTAACGAGATTTGAACCACTAATGAGGTTGTCTGAGGGTTTGAAGTATAGCCAACTACTCTATACAAGGATGATGAACGCCAAGGATTATGTCGCCCGAACATTGCAGAAAGATCGCTCATTCAGAGACGAGGATTGAGGTAAGGTAAGTAGAAAAGAAGAATGGGAACAGAATGCTCTCTGAAAAACACCAGAATTGGTGACGAGAAGATAAAAGATTTTCCCAAAACACCTGGAACAATGGGTATGCCTTATATAACAAGCTTTCAAAAAACAACTGCAATCTGAACTCCGGAACCTAAGAAACCGCATAACGGTAGTCCACGGCTCACACAATCGAGAGCGTTGATAAAATTCAAGAAGCAGATGCGCATGGATTTTTTTAATTATCCACTGAGAAAAGCACGGTATGTACCAGCTGGGCAAAGAACGGAATAGACGGGAGCATCAGACAAGTATGGCAAGCTCTTCCAACTGATCTGCACCACTGATCCCAGGAAAGCAGGCGTCAGCAAGAGAATCAGAGACTACACGGGTCCTCCAATAAGGTGCATCGTATGGCTCGTTGCGTGGAGCACTTTCAAGAGCAGTTCAGTTGGCCCCCAGTTTCTGGACTTATTCCTACTCAAGTGTCGCCAGCGGAGCCCAGGATAGTTATTTTAGAGACTCCGTCGGAGGCTGACGTTCAAAACGCGATCACAGCTCTTAATCGCTTATGTGATACTGACCAGGATTCCCTCCCACCTGCACTAATCAGGGATGATAGTGAGATCCTCTGCAAAGCACTGAGCTCCGTGTTCGAACAGGTATGGAAGGAAGAGGCTACCCCAGCAAACTAGAATAAATCGATTATAGTGGCAAAATACAAGAAGAGCAGCCGCATCAACTGTGTCAACCACGCGGGTATTGGTCTAAATACAATTGTGAGAAAACTACTGGCCTCACTTCTCGTTCGTCGCCTCACTGCGGTACGGGGATCCCGAAGTAGGGAAGAACATGCAAACTACCACCCAGATGGAAACTGTATAGAGAATATATACACTTTGCGACAGATGCTAGGACAGCGGCATACGTACCGCAGGTCCATAGTATATATGTTCCTCGACTTAAACAGTGGTTCGACTCAGTCGACCGATGTATTATCTAAGAAATACTTGCGCAGAAAGATGTTCCCATGAATAGATGAACATTTTACGTGCTCTGTACTCCAACACTACAGGCCGCGTCAAGTTCTGCGGTGACCTGTCAAATATCTATCCGATAACAATTGGGGTTCGTCAGGGCTACTCAATTTCCCCATTTTTGTTCAATTTCGTTGTGGAGTGTTCCCTTCTGGCGCCTCACGATCTAGACGTTGAGGTACTGTCTGGTGGAAAGCTAACTGACCTCGATTATGGGGACGATATCGTCTTGCTGCCTAACGGCGCAGGGGCGGGTCAATCAGC